TCAGGAGGGTTTTCCAGTTATCTAGCAAGGCATTCAACCTACGGAACAAGAGGGGGAAGTTAGCTTTGTAGAGAGATTCATAAGTGGGGGATTCGACTTCCCTGATCTGTTTACTGGGTCAGTGACTCAAAAGGCACTGAAGCCAGTGGTTCAGCAGAACATGCAAGCAATAAGGATTTTTAGACAGAACTTTGCAGCCCCCATAATAACAGCCCCCATATGTCTGTCAGGTTGTGCGTTAAGTCTGTATGGATAAGCATTATTTTACCCAAGCATCGGGTCCACTGGTGATACAGGCACCCCCACTCTTCCTGACCCACCAGTCTGTGGCATGTTAACTGCCAGCAGTCCAATTATCATGTGGTCAACCAGTAATTATAGGAAAGGGTTATTCTTCTGAACAGACCCAATCAACCTCTGCAGACTGGAAAGGTACACATTAGAAGACTTTTCAGCTAATTTTTGTAACCCTTACCATTTCATGCTGGGCAGCTTTAGTGAGCAAAGGCTTAAGTTTTGTACTTGCGGATGTGTTTGCAGTATTGCAGTCAAAATATAAAAATTCACAAAACGTTTAATTTACTCACTGAAACAAAGTCCATAGTTTGCTGAAGACTGGGGTATACTGGCTTTTCAATTGATCAGTAGATGGTGCTGTTGTGTAATTTCAAGTCTCCACTAGCACTGTGGTACCATTCTGTTATTCATTTGCTCACCACATAGTTTTGATTTGCCCTGTCTACTGCATTATGCTCAACATCTTTCAATTGAAAAATTAAAGGAGCAGGCCAATTGTCGACCGAACAGCGCTTGCATACAATCAGATGCTTCACACTATATGGGATTGGGCTACAAATTAGTAAGAACTATTTATCACCGCCCTGTTCCCCAAAAAAAAATCTGTTCCATAGGCGTTTTCTTTTTTATTGCTCAGTAAAGCTTTATATAGTTTACCTTTCCCTTTCACATAGATGTGAATCAAGTCACATTAGGGTAAAAAAGATTTTCCTTCCAATGCAACTTCATGCAGGAAAATGCACACAAAAAAAAAAAAAAGCGGACAAGTGTAAATAGGCCCTAACAATCTCCAGTGCCTCCGGTGGCAAATGCTTTATGTTGTTAGAGAAGAAAAACAAAACTAGAATAGTTTATAAAAAATGCTGGCATCCCTTTGCCTCCCACTGTTCTGTAACTGCCTTGAGCATACCCTTTCTAAAACATTTTCTTCATACAACATTCTTCATTCAGAAGCAGAAGAATCACTGCTTTTATTGAGCCACAAAGACTTTCCGTTGTCCCATGGGACTCACCCCACCTAGAAAAAAAAAAAAAAAAAACTTGTGCCACTGCGTTCCCATAGAGTGTTTCCAGATGTTCTGAATGAATCCCATTTACTAGCAACGGAATCCCCTTCACCAACAGATTGCACTCCTCAGTAGTTAACTACATACAATATAATGCATCTTCTGTTTACAACAATAAGCCAAACTCGAATGAACAGCTGAATAATAATAATGTCGTGCCTGGAGACTACACACCACAGGACAACCTAGTAATGCCCACTACTCTTAACCAGGAAGACAAGACACTTGGTTTATATAGCCACTTGGTAAATGTGTGCATGACCATTACCTTACTGAACATAATAAGTGTGCAATCTAGACTTATAACAATCACTTATTACGTTGCTAGTTGTCATAAAAATGGGTGAATCTCAAACCAGGAATGGTTAAGCTTAATATTACACGGAGTAATCCTTTAAAATGGCTATACGACTACAAAAAGATTTTAAAGAAATACAGGGGTGGCTACTTACTGCTAACCCACTTTTAAAAATGCTAGTTGCCTGGCTTTTGTCAATACTTTGAGTCCCTGATCTGAAACGAGCACAGAGATTAGAAAGTTAGAAGTTCTGAACTGATCCAGATATGCGCCTTTAATTAAAGCCGCTAGATTCGTATGACAAACAAGCTACTAGCTTTTTTAGAACAATCAAATGGCTGCCTCACTAGACTCTACGTATTGGTTTCCTTTGAAGGAGCCCTGCCAACAAGTAACCTGCAATAAAAAAAAAGGGGAGGATTAATACTCTCCTCTGCAGGGGAGGATTAGTACTTGCCTTTCCACCTTTCCTGTGGGCAGTTCCTCCGATCTTTACAGTTGAACATCTACAGGTACTCATACATCTTCTATATCCCACACTTACCCGTGTGCCAGGTGTCTGATACCCTGCTATTTTGCAGTTCAGTCCACTGGCCCCTACATCACTACTATGTACCGCAATGACATAAGGGCTGGCAAAAGTAGGACACGGTCAGTTTATGAGATATTTAAAGTTAGTTGGGTAACAAAATAAAAAATTTTAAAAAGCCCAGTCTCAGAGCAGGCAACACACATGCCTTCTATTTGATTTATTAGCTGGAAAAGTCTTTTGTGCCCCTTTGATTTAGTGCAACTTTGTAGTTATGGGGCATGACTTTTCCAGACTTTATGGTTAAGGTCCGCCAAATACCACTGAAAGTTCTTACGGCAATTTTAAGCTGGGTTTTGAAGGAAGTCTGTACTGAAGTAGTATGGCAGCTGCCATTGCTAATCTCGGATTTGAAAATGCTAGTTGTCTGACAATTGTGCCTAAGTAGGACTATGGCCTCCCAATATAAAATAAATTAAAAAAAACACAATTACAAAATGTGTTGCAGTTCTTAACGCAGCTGCAATTACAAGTTCTCAATTCCCCTGCAACGTCCCACAAATACCTGCTGAACCCACAGGTAGGTGAAGTTTCCTTGAAGTTGCTACTGCTTGTATTACAGTGAAATGAGACGTACTGGGCTTGGCTATCAGCATTGTCACTGCTGTTAACAAGCCCGTAGCTTCTGACCACACCTAGCACTGCGCTCTTTCTGGATGGGGGCAGCACTTTATTTTAAGCCTGTAATGGTGTAATGGGTGTGTAAAAATGAACACCAATTTGAAGCAAAAAAAAAGGGCATGTTAAAAAAAGAAGTGCACTGGTGTGTCAACTGGCCCATCTCCCTGAAGAGACAGGGCCCTTCCCTTACCACCCCAGGGGCACAAGGTTCCTGAAAGGGGCAGAGCACTGTAGTCCACCTAGCCAAAACCAGGCAGATCCCTCTACTCATAGTCCACTTAAGCGGAACAATGAGTACTAGGTTGGGGACACTCCTGAAAAGAGACCCCTGGTTAAGGGGACGAAGGGACCTGATGGCCACACATCCTGCCCCTAGTTTTCAGGCTCAAAGACCCACACCCTCCATCCTTGTGGCGGGAAACTACAGAGCGTGAACATGCACAAAAACAGTGGAGAAAAAGAAGTGCCAAAATGTAATAAAACGGCTAAGCATTGCAGCATGGTAAAAAAAAAAAAAAAAATCAATCACCCCTGGTCTTAGCCATAATGCCTAGGCCAAGAGGTGTGGTGCAGAAAAAGCCTAGTGCTCTTTGGCACAGTGGCTTCCTAATCCCACTGTGTTACTTGAGCACCACTCCCTGGGAGGGTGTTAGACACTGCAGGCTCTCAGCTTTCCCAGCCCATGACCAGACCAGGTAGACCTGTTCAAATGAGGACGCATTGTCCCGCCCCCCAGCCCACTCACAGGGGAGGAGGCAGGGGCTCAGCAGCACTGACCCGGCGGCGGAAGAAGCCGGACCCCAGCAAAGCTAGTCCGGCGGTGGAAGAGAGCAGTGGCAGGCAAGGAGCTGCATATGCAGCGAAAGGGATCCTGACCAGCCTACCATAGAAAGTCTCAGATGGGCTGTGCAGGGTCACTCAGGTAGGCTATGCGGGGCCTCAGGTGGGCCCAGAGTCCAGTTAGTTACTAATTCCAGAGCGTTACTAAGTCCAGAGTCCAATGCATTGCCAAGTCCAGAGTCCAATTTATATACGGTTCTACATTGCTGTATAATGTATTGCTGGGATTTGTAGTCCCGCTACTGCTGGTGCCATTCTCCATTGGAGTGTAAGCTCCTCTGTACAGAAACTGACTGGTTCATAGTTCTCCGTACAGCCTTGTGGTACAGGTCAGAGCTATATAAATGTATAATAGTGCGAGACTGAGGGGGACCACAAGCAACAGCATGCCGTTAGCAGGCTGGGGTGGTGCTAGCCATGTATGCAGATTTGTAATGGCAGCCCTGCCTTTAGATCTAACACTCCTAACCTCCACCCTTGGATGGACAGACACTTAATTCAGATTCCTTCGAGCCCCCCCAATCATCTCCGGCAGGGTACTTTGTAGCCAGCCATTCCTACCATAAGGCCAGAACAGCAGCACATTTTCCCTCCTGAACACTGATAAGAACATATACTACACTTCATCTCAGGCAAAAGGCTGATTGGCAGCACTGCTTCTGTTGCTGAAACTCTCCCTTTGATCTGCAGTGTCTGGAAGAGTGCGAGACAAATGAAGGAAGATTTGGCTCAGTCAGGGAGGGTAAATTAAGTTTAGTTTACTTTAGGATTGTGCATCACATAGTAACTGGATTTACTACTTGCTTAGATTGTCATTACAGGAGCCTTCAGTTGTACTTAATCAGTGGTTCAAAAAGATTTGAAACTATTAAAGAAAAAGTTGAAAAACTGACTTCCTGCTCTACATGCTTGTTCTAGGTCCATGGCTCAACATTGGCATGAAAGCCAATCAACAAGCATTTTCAAAAGCAATGGCAACCTCACTTTCCCAATAGAGATTTAAGGGAACCTTCACAGAGAAATAAGTGGGCTGGCAATGCTAATCTTCACTGCTAGTTGCCTGGCTGTCCCTGCCATCAATATTGAAAGTCACTAACCAGGAAAAAGCATTCAACCAGCTAAGTCTTGTTCTTGGGCAGAGTCGTGAAACAACTGAATCATGAAAGCTTTAGACGGTGTTCACAAAAACAGGCCATCAGTGGCATCTTATACTGCTCTGTTAGTTCAACTTTAGGAACTACATTAGGAAGATTTTTTTTTGTTATTGTACATGGACCCAAACACTTACAGGGTGCAGATCTAGGAATAGGGAATGCAGCTTTTCACTTGGGTGTAGTCCATCCACAGCATTCACAAATCCAGGATCCGCTTTGTAGAAGTGAGGAAAAGACAGAAACATGGGAGCACCTGGGGAAATCAAAGTTTAAAGTTTGTTAACTCCTTACAGTTAATCACAGCTTAAAACCAATTTACATGGCTGACCATACACAAAACAGATTTTTCCAGCAGTTTAAAGATCTGCATATTCTCATATAATGCACAAAGCTCCACAAATGTATCTCCCGTGTTGGCTGAACGTCAATTCCCATTCCTTTATGAAAACCGGAAACCATTTAGCTGTGTTTAATTTAGATCAAGGACTTTATAATTCAGCGTGCCACAAAAAAAATTAATAGTTCTCTAATGTAATTAAAAAGAAAAGCTTAGTGTTTATACTTGGAGGTGCAATTGAAAATGAAGCCCTGACATGCAGACAAAGCACACATCCCACCTGCACAGAGTCTGTCCAGCGTGCAAGCTCATGGCTGCGTGCATTCACCTACACAGTCTCTCCTCCCCTCCAGTGATATCACAACTGCACATGCGCGCACACTTCCTCCTGCATGGCCGAAGCTGGGATTCTACAGCCAGAAGCAAGCACCGCAGACACAGGTATGTTTTTACCCATTTGGCAAGTTTACCCCTTTTTTTTTTTTTTATGTTTTTGCATACAATTAAATGCTTGCTAGCTATAGATCTATTGGGGGAAAAAAACCTGAGACTTTAAATACCACCTTTTACCACACACAATAGTTTTATGCCTCACAGTGGAAATTGCAGAATTACTAAACTTTCAAGTTACTTATTTGTTTACTTACTAACAAAATACTGTTCTAGATAATATTTCCCAGCATCAAACCTGTTATATTTTCCAAACAGCTTTCAGACTCCCTAACAGACACATGGTCAACTGCTTCAGGACTTTAAACTATTAGGCTCGTTATCTTAGAATGTTGGTCACCAGATAACCTAGAAGTTGCTACATTCTGGACATTTACTGTCAGCTAACCAGCTATTTACAGGTTTGGAACTGCTGTCATCAAAATGTTGGTTTCAGTGTTTGCATATCCACTTAGTGTGCATATTATGCACCAAAAGCATTTCAAGTACTTTGAACATGAACAAAAGAAAAAAAGAAAAAAAAAACTAAATGGAGGTTCCCACACGTTTTAAACACTTTCTTGACCTGGACACAGATCAACAAGTGTGAAAATGTAGCAGGAGAGGGAATTGAAGGTATGGCTAAATAAATTGGTAAAGCAGGATTCCAAAAAACTTGTGTATTTACTTGCAGAAGAAAGAGGGTAGCATGAGACCTGGACCTAATAAAGTAATTCTCTTAACAAGTTTCTAACAATACAAGGAATTTGTAGGTTTTCCCTGTGCTTGTGTGGGTTTTTACCTGGGTACTCCGGTTTCCTCCCACACTCAAGACATGCTGGTAGTTTAATTGGCCCTGTATATGTACATGTTTGTAATATACACACACAATTGGGTAAACATTAAAAATACATACCAGCCCGGCAGGAACTGACGTTCATTATACCAGACGCCGTGCATGGGCAAAACCCTTCATTGGGAGGATAGTCTGAACCATTTGCAAACAGATAGCCGGGTGCAGTGTACCGATAGGTTGGGATACCTCTGAAAGACTCTTCTTTCTCGTAAACCAATGTCAGAGACCTGCAATCATTTGGAAAAGGTATGCTTTGTTTTAACTTTGTAAATTGTAATTTTCTTGCAAATTCTACATTGTAAAAATGTACTGTCAATTATGTAGGCAGACTACCTAGGGCAGAGGATTACTTTCAGAAACCTGCAGGTTTGTGGTGTACAGAAGTTAGGAAATGTGTAATGGAAGAATGCTGTAACCGAGTCATTCCTCTATACAAGTTAGAAGCTCCAGTTCCCCTTCAAGTCTCTTTCAAAACTGACAGACCTCAGCTGACCAATGGAATCATACAATTATGTAATTATGTAATTCCATCCACCTGATGGCATGCATTTTGCCTATAGGCCAAACCCTAAATTATAGCAGTGTAAAGGTGGCCATACACTGTACAACCATCGCAAGACCTTAGTCTTGCAATGGTTGTAAAGGGATTAAAAAAACGTACGATCTGCCCATCTTGGACGGGCAGATCGCATTCTCGATCATCGCAAGCCACGCCCCCTGAGGGGCGGGCTTGCGATGACTAATGAGGGGCGGGCTTACGCTGACTGCAAACGGGCAGTGTGTGCATGCGCACACCGGCCCGTTCGGCAGTTTGTCGAACCAGCAGGCCACCAACTCGCCGAGAATCATAAGATTCCCGGCGGGTTTTCAAACATGCTGGTTCGATGGAAGACGTGCGACCGTACAGTAGAAATGGTCGCATGCCTTCCATACACTGCACGATTCACGTACGATCGCGGGATTTCCCGCGATTCTCATACGAGAATCGTGCAGTGTATGGGCACCTTTAGGCCCCGTTCACATTGAGCGATTTATGGAGCGATTTTTGCAGCGATATCGCTCATATTTCCGCGCTATATCGCTCTATGTAGCTTCACCAATACATTTCAATGTAGCTGTTCACATCTCGTCGCTCAATAATCGCTTGTAGCTCGTCGCTGGTAGCTTGTCGCTCCTACATGACCCTTTTTTGAGCGATTTTGAGCGATATTGCTCCTGATTGCATACAGCCCAATAGGAAGAAAAAGTCGCGCGATTTCCATATCGCTCAGTGTGAATGGGGCCTTAGAGTTCAGGTACATTTATAGAAGCATTAAAAAGTTCTCTTGAGGACCAGTCCCAGTTCTTAGGGTCAACGAAAAAAACGGCATACTTATGTGTTTGTCCTGGTCCATTGTCAATGGTCACTGAACAGAAAGTTGTGGGAAAAAACGAAATCTTATAGCTGGCCACCAGAACAGCAATTCAGATGACAACTGTCGCTTTGACAAGATCTTTTACGGTTGTGTCTCCAAAGCTGGCCATACACCTATAGATTATCTGCAGATTTTCTGTGGTCAGATGGAATAAGATCAACAGATTCCTCCATCTACGCTGAACTGTGTGGATGGAGGAATCTCCCACTGGGCCAAGTTTCAATATCTTGCTACTTGGCCTCGCTGGCTTTCAAAATACTTCAACAGTGCCTGCATCCAATCAGATTGTTCAGGTAGTCTGACAGCCAGCGGGCAGACTAGCAAGATAATGAAGCTTGGCCCAGTGGGAGATTCCTCCATCCACCATGTTTAGCATACATGGAGTAATCTGTTGCACTTTTTCCATCTGACCATAGAAAATCTGCAGATTATCTATAGGTGTATGGCAAGCTTTAGTGGAGGAACATCTCCCCAACAGAACACAAGGGGGGGGGGAACAATTGCTGAATCTACATGACCATAACTCGGGTGACCAATACTCTGGTAACCAACTGCTGGTGTATAGGGGATAAGGCATGCCCCCTACATATGCAGACTGTAGACTCTGCCTTTCTGATAAGGCAGATGTATTTAAACAACCGAGAGTCAAAATATATTCCATATTTCACCAACACAATAGCACACAACACATAATCCCTGTATACCATCTATCCAGACATCAGAGCTCCATGGTCAGTATACATTAGGGCTTGGTTAATACTTTATACCCAACCAAGTCAATTGGCTAGCAACCTTCTATTCTCAAGGAAACTGTAAAATAGACCACTTATTTCACTCTAGGGCTGCAACAACTAATCGACATAATAGATTATTGAAAAAGTTGTCGACTTTTTCAATCGATTAATCTGCTTCCAATTTGTTGGCCCTGTTCACAGCTCCACACGCTGCGTGCCGCACCTCCTCCCCACCTCACGCTCGCCGCTGCCAGACCCCCCTGCCCGCATCCACGATCCACACGCCGCACCTCCTCACCGCCCGCCCACATCCACGATCGGCACAGGGAGAAGTAAGGAGGAGCAGGTGTGGGGGGATGACAGCCGCCGACAGACAGGCCCGATCTCAGAAGCAAGTTGCTGGAAGACTGCTCAGGTAAGCCTGCACTTCCCTCCCCCCCCACATGGTGCTCTATAATGTATTGCTGGGATTTGTATTCCTCTTTAGCTGATGGTACATTGTGCTGTATATTATACAGAGGACTACAAATCCCAGCAATACATCATACATTATGTATAATGTATTGCTGGGATTTGTTGTATTCCTATATAGCTGGTGGTATTCTGCATTGCGCTGTATAGAGGACTACAAATCCCAGCAATAATACATTATACAGTGGTGCAATGCGGAATACCACCAGAGGACTACAAAACCCAGCAATAATACATTATACACAGTGGTGCAATGCCGAATACCACTAGCTATAGAGTACTAGAAAACCCAGCAATAGTATACCAGGACTAAAATACCGCCAGCTATTATGTACTATTGCTGGGATTTGTTGTATTCCTCTATAACTGGTGGTATTCTGCATTGTGCGGTATAATGTACTATTGCTGGGTTTTGTAGTACTCTATAGCCGGTGCCATTCTGCATTCATTGCTCTATAATTTTACACTTTTCATTTCACTATATTGCACACCACACTTTTTTTTTTCTTTATTTCCACCGCTCCAAGCTTGCTCCTGTAATGGACTACAATCTCAATACAAACTAGTAGTCCCATTACTGGGGCCATTTTTTAAAATTTATTCTATCCGATTAATCGAACTTAATAATCGGCTAACTAATCGATTTTGGAAATAATCGTTAGCTGCAGCTCTATTTCACTTTGTTATATGCTTTAGCAAATCACTGAATTTTAGCACTCATTGTACATTAACCCTAATATGTACACTAAACAACAAAAACACACCTTTAAAAAAAACATGCTATAGGAGTTATTGTAAGGGATTGGCAGAGGTTATTGTTAAGCTCACATTAGGGGTAAGATAAAGAAATCAGTCATAGAAACATGGAGGCTGCCACTGTTGAGCTAACAGATGCAAATTTCTGGCCATCATCCTGGTCCTTTTGCTCTTGGCAAGTGATTCATTGCATTGCAGCAAGTATGCAGACAAGGACTATTGGCTTTTCTCAAATGGTCCTGATCTCCATACATTTTCCTTGTCAGAAGCTCATTACAGTACCAAGGTTAGTAGGTTAGCATAACAGTCAAGAAACTAACATTTACAGAAAGAAGTCAGCGATGGCAGCTCCATAATTCTCTAACAACCGTGCGTTGAGAGAGGAATACTGTAAGAATACCATCTTAAAAGGGGGGAGTGTTCAAGTTCAGCTATTTTTTGGGAGGGTGGGGGGCACCTTGGGGATTCAGGCTTGTTTTAGGGGTTCTGATCTAGTGAGTGGGATATTACGGTTTTTTTAAAGGGTTCACTTTACCAGATTAAGTGTTTGTAGTGGTCATTATTGTGGGGAATATATTCATTTCAAGGATGCTGGCCATATATTAGAGCCAAACATTGAAACCCTTGCACTAAGTGTCATGCTTCCAGGAATGAAAACAAAATAGTGCATGTACATGAAACACACCTTTGTATAAGGAGTTTGAAAATGCAAAAGTATGTACACCTGTGATAGTGTTATGTAAAGAGAGTTTATAAATATATCAGAACATTTCATACTTTACTAAGGCCACTTGGCAGAGCTTTCTCTTCCTTTAACTTTGGATTGGTCCTGACTGATCCGAACTTCTGTGGGTTTTCTGCAACCAAATCTTTACAATTCACCCAGCATGTGCAGATCTGTTTTTGTGCCAGGAAGTGACAGTCATGTATAGGCTTAGGAGCAGATCCTGGAAGCCACAAGAATAGTTCACCTGCTTTAACCTGCATTGGGGTCTATACAACTAGACCAGGTCACTTGTAAAATAACAAGTGGAGATGGGTAAGGGGGCCCCAGTCTGTGCATGTATAGCCAGATTATTAACCCTATATTTCTTAAAAGCTATAGGAACAGTCAACATACCAGTCCAGCATAAAAAACTTAAAATAAAATAAAATTCCATCTGGACCCACACAAAACACTGCTCCACTAAAACTCAAAAAAGGACCTAACACATATACATACACACACACACAAAAGTATGGCGATCCCCTAAGCAAAGCACAGATTTATTTTTAGATATAATACAGAGGTTTTGTTGTATAGCCATGTTTGATTAAATAAGCTCTTTGACCTTCTTAAAGCTTCAGAAATCATTACACAGAATCCACGTAAACATGGATGGCCTTCATAGTTAACACTGAAGTGTCAGTTTAGAGGTTGTATTTTATATCTTCAACTAAAATGAGCAGCTTCAAGGCTCATCTGTTCTTGTTGTGAAAACTACAGTTTGGTAATCCCACAATAGTAGATTTAATGGACACAGGTTAAAGTTACTTGTGGGAAGAGTATGGGGGCTGCCATTTCTGGCACTCTTGAAAACACTAGTTGCTTGGCTGTGTCCTGGCTTTTTAACAATAATGTTGTAAAAGGCGTGTCAGAATCCCTTACATCTCCATTTGATGGAAAAAAAAAAAAAAAAAAGTCTAACATTTGTAAATGTAGAAATTAGCAATGGCAGCTCCCCATACTTTTCTGATTAGAGGCATTTTAACAGATAGGCTAAAATAGTGTTCCACAATGTTAACATCTGCTGCACTCACCAATTCTGTCCATCGATTACTTCTTTTCTGCCAGCCACAATTTACATGCAACAATGGAAATGGATACCTAAAACTCACTGTCCATAGTACAAAATTACCAAATAAATGAAACCTATACAGATAGAAGTGTGCAGGCTTTTAATACTGAACTACTTCTGAAACATCTAGTTCCCTTGGGGTCTCGATGCGTCCAATCAGCGATGAAAGCAAGCATGTAGCAAGTCTGAACCCCTGATCTGCACACGTTCCATATTAAGGATTGAGAAAGCATTAAAGCCACTGGATAAGCCTGACAGACAAGGAACTAGCATGTTCAGAAGACGTCAGCAGTGGCAGCCCCATATTTCCTTTAATCGCAATACTAGTAATATAGTGTCTATAAAGTACGAAGAGTAGCCATATAGAGGTGAGCTCCCATATAATCACCTAGCTTGCAGAGCACCCCTGGAGGCCCAAAATCTCAGCTGCAGTAATGCACACCTCAACTTCAGACCTGGCACTGTAGTCCACCCCCATTTCATTGCAGACCGCACTATTGGCCACCCATAGCAGCTTTGGACCATGGAGTGACCTTTCAAAAAAAAAAAAAAAAAGTTCATCTATGCCTATCAATTAGAAAAAGGAGTTGTTTGGCTTAAAGAAAAAAAAAAAACCCCACACACAAAGTATATTACCCCTACCCTGGATTTGCCACTTAACAATACTACATTACCTGCAGGCATCTGGACTGTAGAACTCCAGAGGCTGGGCAGGTGTCCGAAAAGGTGGCCACATTTGACCAGCAGTTCCATTAATCATATTGGCTTGCTCAGAATTCCAGAAATTAACCTGCAAAAATAAAAGTGAAACACACACCCTTTATTTTTGGTACCTGGTTTTATACATATAGTGACTATACGAACAAGAACACAATAATAAAAACAAGGATTTATTTAAATTTAAACTACGTAGCAGTAGTGTTTCATATTTTTACATTTACACTAGTTTTAAACATAATTCGATCCTACCAAAGCCACATACACACATGGTCTAGTATGTAAAGCCAGTCAATATTAGATTGAAAACACAAGCTTTGTAAAACCACATGCACTTATAAATGCCAATTTGTAGAAAACCATACCATTGGTACCATTCCATGCTCACACCCATTTAAAAAAAAAGATTATATATATATATATGACAACATGACAGTTCTAATATTTAAAGTATATCTGACTGCACATAACAATAACAGATACACTTAGAGGCACAATCCTTGGGGTTTTTTTCTTAAGAAATTGTATATATGGCATCAGGTTGGAATACAGTTCCATATCAGATACCCAAATGCAAAAATATTTCCCCAGATTCTCCATAACTTCATTAAAAAGAGCCTTTGGACTATTATCACTAGTCCACACATAACCAGATACCACTCATTGTGGAAAAAGGAGAAGAAAACACACACTACCTTGCTTAGTCCATTCCATGTGTCTACCATTTGGACTTGACTGATGTCTTTTACTCCAGTGTTTACCGTAAAAATACCAGAGTTTGTGTTATTGAACTATAGAGGGGGGAAAAAAAAAAGACATTAACCATTTTAGAAGCCAAAAACAGAGCCTAATGGTCACATTTCCAAGGGCATATTTTACTTACATCTGCAAACAAGCCAAACTTCCCTTTGAATGGAAGTTTTCCAGGGAGAAGTGTATTCATGAAATCTAGAAATGGGTCACTGTATCCCCACAAAAGCTCTTTAACAGTTTTGTTAATGAAGGCATCTTGGCCAAAACCTGCGAATGCTCCACTGAGGACCCATTTCATGAAGCTTCCTGAATCTTTCATCATCAATGATGGAACCTATAGAAATAAAATAAAAAAAATAGTTTAATAAAAAGCTGTATTATAACAAAATAAATAATGCATAAACATTTGGAAGTTGGGCCCCTTTCACATGGTCAGACCAGGGAGGGGATTCGATGCCAGTCTATTTAGATGTGGCTACCCATAGAGTAACATTAGGCTGACCTGATCGGAAAGCCCATGTAGGAGGCTCTGTCAGCGCTGGTCCCTGTCAGAGATGTTGCCTGGCATTGGTAATGGGCCCAGCTTAGATCATCACCTACTCTGTTTTTGAGAAGCACGCCATTCCAAGTTAAATTGATCATATGTTACCATATGATCAATTAAACCCACATTTTTGGGGATTTTATGGCAAACTATGAAAGCTTAGCGATCCCCTTTTTTTTAAATTAAAAGGATGTGTTTCTGACCATTGTCATTTACTTTAGGTTTAGAAAAATTTAATACTAGACATACTAGATCTGGAGAATTCGGAGGCAAGGAACAGTCCGACTTCTCAGCTGGGCAGAAACTTCATGATGTCACCCAAAAAGCACAATTAGAAAAAGGAGTTGTTTGGCTTACAGAAAAAAAAAAAACCCCACACACAAAGTATATTACCCCTACCCTGGATTTGCCACTTAACAATACTACATTACCTGCAGGCATCTGGACTGTAGAACTCCAGAGGCTGGGCAGGTGTCCGAAAAGGTGGCCACATTTGACCAGCAGTTCCATTAATCATATTGGCTTGCTCAGAATTCCAGAAATTAACCTGCAAAAATAAAAGTGAAACACACACCCTTTATTTTTGGTACCTGGTTTTATACATATAGTGACTATACGAACAAGAACACAATAATAAAAACAAGGATTTATTTAAATTTAAACTACGTAGCAGTAGTGTTTCATATTTTTACATTTACACTAGTTTTAAACATAATTCGATCCTACCAAAGCCACATACACACATGGTCTAGTATGTAAAGCCAGTCAATATTAGATTGAAAACACAAGCTTTGTAAAACCACATGCACTTATAAATGCCAATTTGTAGAAAACCATACCATTGGTACCATTCCATGCTCACACCCATTTAAAAAAAAAGATTATATATATATATATGACAACATGACAGTTCTAATATTTAAAGTATATCTGACTGCACATAACAATAACAGATACACTTAGAGGCACAATCCTTGGGGTTTTTTTCTTAAGAAATTGTATATATGGCATCAGGTTGGAATACAGTTCCATATCAGATACCCAAATGCAAAAATATTTCCCCAGATTCTCCATAACTTCATTAAAAAGAGCCTTTGGACTATTATCACTAGTCCACACATAACCAGATACCACTCATTGTGGAAAAAGGAGAAGAAAACACACACTACCTTGCTTAGTCCATTCCATGTGTCTACCATTTGGACTTGACTGATGTCTTTTACTCCAGTGTTTACCGTAAAAATACCAGAGTTTGTGTTATTGAACTATAGAGGGGGGAAAAAAAAAAGACATTAACCATTTTAGAAGCCAAAAACAGAGCCTAATGGTCACATTTCCAAGGGCATATTTTACTTACATCTGCAAACAAGCCAAACTTCCCTTTGAATGGAAGTTTTCCAGGGAGAAGTGTATTCATGAAATCTAGAAATGGGTCACTGTATCCCCACAAAAGCTCTTTAACAGTTTTGTTAATGAAGGCATCTTGGCCAAAACCTGCGAATGCTCCACTGAGGACCCATTTCATGAAGCTTCCTGAATCTTTCATCATCAATGATGGAACCTATAGAAATAAAATAAAAAAAATAGTTTAATAAAAAGCTGTATTATAACAAAATAAATAATGCATAAACATTTGGAAGTTGGGCCCCTTTCACATGGTCAGACCAGGGAGGGGATTCGATGCCAGTCTATTTAGATGTGGCTACCCATAGAGTAACATTAGGCTGACCTGATCGGAAAGCCCATGTAGGAGGCTCTGTCAGCGCTGGTCCCTGTCAGAGATGTTGCCTGGCATTGGTAATGGGCCCAGCTTAGATCATCACCTACTCTGTTTTTGAGAAGCACGCCATTCCAAGTTAAATTGATCATATGTTACCATATGATCAATTAAACCCACATTTTTGGGGATTTTATGGCAAACTATGAAAGCTTAGCGATCCCCTTTTTTTTAAATTAAAAGGATGTGTTTCTGAATTAAGATTTCCTTTGGTTTAAATGCTAAATGGTATCTTTAAATATCATACTACTTATAATGAAAAAAAGACTCTTCAAAAAGGTAATGCCCTACACAAGAAGTTAAAATGCTCCAGGTTTACCCCCTCCATTTTTCTGTCTGATCATACAAGTAAATGGGGGGGTATTTACTTGGACCGGTACAGACAGCAATAAAAACCAACGTCACGTTATACCACTCCTCACTTTACCATAAAAGCATGTTTTGGCCAATGAACTCCAGAGGCGCTAATCCCTGTTCTAATAACCAAAAAGCCTTTTTTCTTTTTAGTGGATTTGAATTTTCATACAGAATGATTATCTTGTTAGTTAACCCTACATGCACAAGTTTAAAGAGTAAGTCACCATATTATACTGTACAGTTTTATATTCATTTTCAGGACTTATGAGCAGCACTTTTTTTTTTATATATATTAAAATGTGGTGGTCTTTTTTAATTCCTTTGAAATTACATCAGAAACTTAAAGTTTATCTAAAGCCAACATCTTTTTGTTGATTGAGAGAGCTGGGAATACTAGGTCATCATCCATGTTGCTTTGGAGAGACTGCGCCTCACTTCCTGTCCTGAAGACACAATAGGAAGTAAGGACATTTCAACCTTAGAAAGTGGCCACTGGAACAAGTGCCCCTTTGGAACATTTCCTTATGTCATATACTGGTGAAAAACTGTACAATTTTGAACTTGCAATCATATTCTGCCGTTGTCACTATGGTGCTCCAAGTTAGCATTCTTAATAAGGCAAAACTTCAGTAATACAAACGTCCGCAATATTATGTTATAATGGCTATAAAGAAAAAAAAAAGGAATAAAAAAAAGTTACCAGGACAAGAATGTTTGGAAATATAATATATTGTTCTTCACTTCCTGCAGATTTATCAGGATCAAAATGGAGAATTCGATTCTCCACAAATGAGACTGTTCCATTTTCATTAAAGGTGATGTTAAATTTCTGTTTGCGTTCCCTAGAAATAAGAATGACACAAATTACACCTTGTATAGTTGAACACAAAAAAAAACTAAAAAAAAAAAGTGCTTGGGTAAAAAACCCAACAACTTTACATATAGATGCTACTACCAATTTAATCATAACATCATTGAAGTTCTCAGTAACCTCCGAAATGACTCAGATCTTTATATTAAAAAAAAAAAATCATATTTCAAAAAGGCAGTCACTGAATATTGCTGTAAAAAATAAATCAATCCATAAGCTGAACTGTATTTGGTGCAAACACAGAAAATGACCAATTAGCTGTAACAGTTTTTGTGAGAGTGCGCTTTACGTGGCGTCCTGGCTGTGCCTGCCACTTATTCTATGCCTTCTAGTACTTCTCAACTCCTACCACGACCACACATCTCCAGGAGTTCGTGGACACCTGTCCAATATACTGGCAGCAGGTGTATAACGGGTCCTGCCGGTTACCAAGATGGTCACAGTAACAGGCAAGACTGGTCCATGCTATACACCTGCTGCCAGTATATTGGTTCTTCGCTGTGACAGTGAATGATGTGGGATACCAGTACATACACACTTATATGTTCATCTGTTTGGGGAGTAGTTTTAATCGTATTATTTATTAAATAGATGTGATCTACTTCACCAGGAAAAGGCGCTGTCCTTTGCATGTATTTAAAGATTTTGCAGTCGGATGTGCTCTGCTGCCTCCCCCCAAGGAAGACCATTTTGTTTGAAGAGAGTGATGAAATAGTCAGCGCTGGTAGTGTATGTATATGACACAAAGTTAATGAACACAAGCAAGCAGTGTCACTAGATTAAGGACTTATGCACTGAAGAAAAGGTGAAAGCACACAAACATGTAGTGCTTATACTGCTTCATGTCTTGTGTGAACTGCGGTTTAAGGAATTGAGGAAAGACCACCATTTACAGGCATGCATCGGAAAGACAGGGAAAAAAAAAAGAAGAAGGTCTAGCTCCTATACACAGCACTAAAAAAAAATAAAAATAAAAGAGGAAGAGCAAATGCCCCTTTTGGGCTACATTTTGAGCAGTTTGTACACTGAAGTGCAAACAAATGAACTTAAGTATATGAAAGCTGCAAAAAAGATGAGCAGAGCTCCAAAAGGCGACCCTAGATTTGCCGTCTCAAGGTAGGACAACCCAATCGTGATAAATGTATCCATCAAATGTGATGGTGAATTCTGACTTACATTAAATATACCAAGGAGACCTCCATATGGACATATTCTGGCCTCAAACGCCAAGCACTGCCTATAAAACTATGCCAAATTTTCCACAGATAATTGGTTAGATTAGATTGCTTGATACCTTATCTGTATGGGCATTTTAACAGTCATGCACACACCTACTAGTAAGGATAACCATTATTAAACTTTGGAATTTTTTCATGGCCAACAGGCTTTGCCACAATTCCAGTTTACCTAGAAAACACCAATACTGTATCTACATCACAAATGCATACCTGGCAATTTGCAGCTCAAAGTTCAAAAATAAGACAGGAAAGGCATTGAGATTTGAAAGGAAGTAGCTGGCACCAGCTTCTAAGTAGGTCTTAGTTGTCACACACAATTTTTCCATGCCAAGCGCCTAAACTCCAGCCAAGCATACAGGGGACACCTACAACTGCTAAGTGACCCAACGGGGTTCCCTGATCAGGCATTTGAGTACAATACCATATTTGGCCCATCATGATATTACAGTGCATGAATTAAACAGATAAAAATCCAGTTCTTTAGAAAAATATAATATATGTTTATTATAGAAAACAAAACCATTAACCAAATAAAACTGCCCTGGATCTGGGTCATCTGTCAGTGTAGGAAGTCTTACACTGGTACCTACAGTGCTATACTGCTGCAGGTAGCATGACCAACATAGCTTCATTAAATGAGAACTATGGGGCGAGTGAATTCTACTCATCCCCCATAGTTAGCGTCAACATGCGACACTGAAACTGTCACACGTCGGCTCTATTGATCGGGAAGTGAGCAAAAGCAGAGATGACTGGAGGGATCGACTGGGAGGGGCAGGCATAGCTGGCTCAGCCTCTAGATCAGGGGTCTCAAACCTCCGGCCCTCCAGCTGTGGTGAAACTACAAATCCCATGATGCATCTCTTCGGGAGTCATGTCTGTGGCTGTGAGAATCTTGCAATGCCTCATGGGATTTGTAGTTCCACCACAGCTGGAGGGCCAGAGGTTTGAGAACCCTGCTCTAGATAGACCGAGCCCACTGTCAATCAGCCAGCGGGGTGGGTTTTAACAGCATCGTCTGGATCCGCCCCGGCTGTGGCAGCATAGAGTTTTGGGTCACTGGAGGATGTTAGTATACGTCCTTCTGTGACCCTAAAGAGGACTATAGGATAAAAAAAGGTTACCCCACAGTTCTCTTTTAAGTTTCACAGCTGGATTCAAAGTATTAGCAGTAGTGGCCAGATCCAAGTGACAAGTATTTGCACTATGGAACCTGCTCCACTGTACTAACACCCACATTTTTCACTTGGTAAAATACACTTCATGCAATAGTTTCCCTTTCAGAATACAACACCTGAAGCACACGCAGATCAAGCATCAAGATTGATCAAATGATATTCTCTCATGTGGTAATACTGTTCACTGTGCCACTTTAGTATCTCAGCACAATTAGGAAGGCCCTTCCTCAATGTTAAGTAAAGTAGACTGGTTACTCCCTTATGATGTAGGTTTTGTTCCAGGTAAAATCACACTATTTCACCCCACTTGCTGCGACTCTGACCTACCTTTGGGTCTGCTAAGATACTTCACAGGTGGAACATATACTTTAAGGATAAGGAGGCTAATGTTCATTTCTCCACTTTTTTCATGAAAAATTATAGCCAAGAGATTTAAAGAGGCCAAGGATGAGTTTTGCATGGTTTTTGGACTAAATGTATAGCTTACAGAAATATTCCCATGTTTTTGGAGGAGGTACAGAAATACACTATATTGCCAAAAGTATTGGGACTCCTGCCTTTACACGCACATGACCTTTAATGGCATCCCAGTCTTAGTCCGTAGGGTTCAATATTGAGTTGGCCCACCCTTTGCAGCTATAACAGCTTCAACTCTTATGGGAAGGCGGCCACAAGGTTTAGGAGTGAGTCTATGAGAATGTTTGACCATTCTTCCAGAAGCGCATTTGTGAGGTCAGGTACTGATGTTGGACAAGGCCTGGCTCGCAGTCTCCGCTCTAATTCATCCCGAAGGTGTTCTATTGGGTTGAGGTCAAGACTCTGTGCAGGTCAGCCAAGTTCCTCCATCCCAAACTTGCTCATCCATGTCTTTATGGACCTTGCTTTGTGCAGTGGTGCGCAGTCATGTTGGAACAGGAAGGGGCCATCCCCAAACTGTTCCCACAAAGTTGGGAGCATGAAATTGTCCAAAATGTCTTGGTATGCTGATGCCTTAAGAGTTCCCTTCACTGGAACTAAGGGGCCAAGCCCAACCCCTGAAAAAACAACCCCACACCATAATCCCTCCTCCACCAAACTTTACACTTGGCACAATGCAGTCAGACAAGTACCATTCTCCTGGCAACCGCTAAACTCAGACATGTCCATTGGATTGCCAGACAGCACGATTCGTCAATCCAGAGAACACTTCTCCATTTCTCTAGAGTCCAGTGGCGGCGTGCTTTACACCACTGCATCCGACGCTTTGCATTGCACTTGGTGATGCAAGGCTTGGATGCAGCTGCTCGGCCATGGAAACCCATTCCATGAAGCTGTCTACACACTGTTGTGCCAATCTGAAGGCCACACGAAGTGGAGGTCTGTAGCTATTGACTCAGCAGACAGTTGGAGATTTTTGCACACTGTGCGCTTCAGCATGCGCTGACCCTGCTCTGTCATTTTACGTGGCCTACCACATAGTGGCTGAGTTGCTGTTGCTCCCACTTTGTTATACCACTAAAGGTGCCCATACACTGCACGATTCTCGTACGAGAATCGCGGGAAATCCCACGATCGTACGAGAATCGTGCAGTGTATGGAAGGCTGTACGGTCGCACGTCCTCCGTCGAACCAGCATGCTAGAAAACCTGCCGGGAAATCGCACGATTCTCGGCAAGTTAGTGGCCTGCTGGTTCGACAACTGCCGAACGGGCCGGTGTGCGCATGCGCACACTGCCCGTTTGCAGTCATCATAAGCCCGCCCCTCATTACAGTCATCGTAAGCCCACCCCTCAAGGGGGCGGGCTTGCGATGATCGAGAGTACGATCTGCCTGTCCAAGATGGGCAGATCGTACGTTTTTTTAAAGTACTTTACAACCATCGCAAGACTAAGGTCTTGCGATGGTTGTAAAGTGTATGGCCACCTTAACGGGTGACCGGGGAATATTTAGTAGCAAGGAAGTTTCACAGAACACCTGAATCCAATGATTTGGAGGGGTGTCCCAATACTTTTGGCAACATAGTGTATGTTCTGCTGCTATATTGAGAACGGCGCATATCAGTTGATCAACAGCTTTAGGCAAATGTTCTGTAATGCCACTAGTGCACCACTCCGTATTACCGATTAAAACAGGTCTTCTCAAATAAGTGGCACATACACTGAGCACTGCCCCTTCCATGGAATCGATAGGCCAGGAAATTTCAAACAATTTTTTTGTATATCTAAACTCTACTGCACCTGTAAACATAAGGTCCACGCTCCTCAACCCGAGGCTTTTCTCCCAAAAGGACTTCTTTATGGTTCACTACTTCAAATATGTAGATGGACATGAAGAAGGGTACTGGAAGATCTTTCCACATTTCATAAGCAAACCCACTGCTAGGATCTATCCTGACATTCTGAAAAACATGGAAATAAATATTTGGGAGTGGAGGGGGGGGGGGGGGTTGGGGGTGGGG